AAAAAAAAAAAACTTTTGCACATATTTCTGTTTTACTTTTATATACACTGTGAATCATTGGTCAGTCTTCACAAGAAACTGACCTTTCTCTGATTTCTTGTGTCCCTCCAAACAGCCATAGCAACAAAACTCAAATTAAAAACTATTTAGTTCATTATTCAGTTCTGCTTTAAAGAATGTTTACTGATTATACAAAAGGTTCATCAAAGTAAATTATGGCAGAAAGAGGGATAGAGGAGAAATACCCACTACCAACTTTCAAGTTGCCTGCAATCTAAATCAGTCCTTCTGAAACTTTAAGGTGCATATGGATTTCCTGAATATATTGTTAAAAATGTACGTTCTGGGTCAGTGGGTCTGAGGGGTGGGTCTTGAGTCTGCATTTCTAACCAGCTCCATAGTGATGCAGCTGCTGGGTAATGGACCATACTTTGAGATGCCAGGATCTAAATGAACTGTTCTTAGTGTTCATAGAGGAGTCTGCCTGTATATCATACAAGACATGCATTTACTCACCTGCTAGAAAACAGAGATTGTAACATATTCACTTACCTGTAAAGAATCCATGACTGTGGGCCTTGTTAGTACTGTCTTCCTAACTGGGCTACCCGTAGAACTAAACAGACTGACAGGGAAACATAAATCAGATTGTCAGAACTAAATATTTTTAGACAATTTAGACTGCCCATATATATTTGTGATATAGAAGGAGTATATCTTTATTGGTTTGTTTTGATTTTCTGAACTCTTTTCCACCTAGTCAGAAAATAAAACGCTGCTGGGTAAAGAGGAATCGTTAATGCTGCTGGTTGCAGGGCCCAGGAGGGGCATATCACTGAGTGAAGAGCTGGGAGTAGGGGGGCTGGGGCTGCGGGGTCCTGGTGAAGAAAGCATGCTGCATTCCTCCGTTGCCCTGCAGCATGGCAGACCTAGGTTGGCCAGAACTTCAATTTTTCAAGAAAAGCCAGAAATACAAATTTCATGTGAAATTTTCCAATTTTACAGTGTTGGCTATTAATTTAATTTCTTTTAAAACCTTATTTGAGCCAAGGAAACACATCTGTGTCCCAGATACGGTCCGTGAGCCACACACTTACAATGTCTAGCAGAGAGTACATTGAAGTCTCATAATATACTTCTCATGGTTGAAAAATTATGAATTTTCAAAATGAAATTCTCTGGCCTTTTGTCTTTAGACACTTTGGTCAGAAGAAATAGTCTCTGTTTTATGCATTTGGAGGCACTGGTATAAAAGATCGGTGTAGGATCATAAAACCTGTCTTTCCTTCTTCTCTCACATTCCAGATTACAGGACAGGCCCGTGTTTTACTCAGGTCAACAACCAGATGTGTCAAGGGCAGCTGACAGGCATTGTCTGCACGAAGACTCTGTGCTGTGCCACCATTGGACGGGCCTGGGGCCACCCCTGTGAGATGTGTCCAGCCCAGCCTCAGCCCTGCCGACGGGGCTTCATCCCCAACATCCGCACCGGAGCCTGCCAAGGTGAGGCAGCCACCTGCCCATGTGCCCCATCACTGACATGTCACTTGTCGGTTTACTGGAGTGGGAGAATCTGACACTGAGAACGGTAGTCTCTAACACATTACCCATTTCCAAGAGGGCCTGATCAGAGATGGTTCATCTTTTAGCCACCTAATAAATAATAAGGTTTCAACTCTTGACATTCATGTAGAAAAGAGAGAAATGAAAAATTCGGGAAAAATTTTTTAAAAATACAGTTTAAAATATTTAAGGCAATCAGAGGATGAACCAAATTGTCTTCGTCCAGTTGGCACGATGCTTCCCACCACCCCCTGCCAAACTATACACATGCAATACCCAGGAAAAACATATTTTCTCTCTCCTAATCTCATTCAAGTTATAAGAGCCTTAACCCAGGCAACAGGGAGATGAGAGTGACCCCGTATTGGTCCTATATTGTTACTAATAGTTGCCTTCAAAGAGAAAGTGTGAACTCTGTCTGTGACCGTGGTTACTTCAGAGTTTTGTAACCTGGGTTGGTTATGACCTTATTTTCAGGTGATCTCTTGGAACTTCCCAACCACATCATGACACTGATTTATAGATTAGAGCTAGATCAGGGTCCTGCGGATGCTACAACAGTAGACTCCAATCCAAGCAGCCTAAAATTGTTACATACTAACCAATTTACTGGTTAATTGTTTTAATTAATTTTTAGCCACCACGGTTGTTACCTTTTTTTTAGATACTTCTTGACATCCATCATATGTATTAAGTCCATTTTGGAGATTGGAAATGTTCTCTCATGAGCTCTCATATGGCAGTGGCCTGCATATTTCATAGCCGTAAGATCACGGGAAAACAGAAATGACTTTTATATTATTCACAGAAATTATATTGCTCATATTCGAAACATGGGGACTTAGGTTTATTTGTTATAATTAAATCATATACAAAGTTTGATCTGAAGTCTTTCAAATTGATGTTAGTCAGCAGTGCCAGAAGTGCAGATGTCATCTACCCAGCCCATAGAAGTGCTATATTGTAGAAAGCCAGTCCTATGTCCTAAAACCCAAATGAGAATTATAGTTTGGGGAGCCCCGATATAGCCCCAGTTCACTGAATAATAAAATACGAGCTCTCTGCATAATTTGGTAAATGTACTCCTGACTGTAGCCTGCAAAGATTTTTGTTAGTTTTGTAGCTTTATTAAAGGTAATATTTTAAAAAGGTCTACACCTAAACTCTTCTCAAATTAAAATTACAAGAATGCTCAGAGGATAATGACAGATAACTCAGCAGATTAGCAACTTTATATTTGATCATATATAAAAACCATGTCAGCTTTGGACTTAGAATGTTTTTTTTTTTTTTAGTAACTCTTGCAGATCAGACCTTAATGATGAAGACTGGGTTAAATGCTATTTTTAATCTGTTGTTTTCCATGGCTAGTAAAATTCTATATCTTTCACGTGAGTACCAGTCTGATTATATAGAGTTCCTGACAATGCAACAATTTTTTATATAGGAAGATACATTATACTATATTCTATGTGGTATTTACTGTACTACATATATTTCCCAAATCAGTATAGAGATTACCATATAATTTATATAATGTACATACATTTCTATTAAAAATAAAATGCTCTACTATATAGATTTACTAGATTAATACTAACTAGATTTACTGGAGTAATACTTTTTCTTTATTCCAGAGCACATGTCACCTTCTAATATACTCATTTATTTTCTTTATTGCTTTTATTCTCTCCCAGCTAGAATGTAAGCTCCAAGAGAGCAGAAATCTTTTTTAATCACTAATGTCTCAGGTATCTAGAACAGAACCTAGCATGTAGTAGGTGAGCAGTAAATATCTTTTGAATTAGTAAGTGGGATTAAGATTAAAATACCTCCAAAACCCACTGTTTCAGAGAAAGAAACAGTTCAAGTTGAGAAAAGCTCTTAACCAAACCATCCCAAGTGATTGACTCGCCTCATCTTCTGTATTTATACTTACGTTTTTTTACTTTGGTATTTTGTCAGAGAAGCCTAAGTTTTTCCAAGCACAATTTTTAAAAATGTATCATCTGATCTCAAATTTTCTGAATGTCCTTCAGGATTTAGTAATGTCTGAAAGCTTACTTATTTGATTTTGTTTATGCAGCAAAGATAAGCTTCAGGCTCCATTTGCCTAAAACCTAGTGGATTAACGGAGTAACAGGAACAAAATGAAATTTGCCACATGGTTAAAATGTCTGGAAAAGCAAGTTGAAAAGTTCTGCTTTATTTCAAAATTATGGCATAGTCAGAAAGTTCTCAATTAAATACTAATTCTCAGTTCAGGCTATTTTAAGACTACATCTTACTGTGATTTCATTTTTTCCTTTAAATTCCTAGACTGTTTTCTAAATACTTATGCCAAATTAATTTGGAAAAGATGGGGCATGAAAAAATAACATACGAAAACATGATACATATATATAAAATGCATCTTTATAATCGTGNGGAGCGCTGCTGCGGTAGTGCGCCATGGGCTCAGCCCCTGATTTCTAGCCCTTATGCTTAATCCACGTTTAGTCTCGTACTTTCTTCCATTTTATACTACACTAAAGGACCAAAGTTAACTCATACAGACATTAAAATTTATTTAAGCTGTTATAAAGTGAGTGAATTAAAGATTTAAACAGTGGCATTATTGAAAACCCTCTTCCAATAACATTTACAAACTTTACATGTCAAAAACTGCCACATGCATATAATGTATTATTTTCTTACAAATGGCTTCATCTTTTTCCATCTTAAGTTGCATTAATCTACTCTGATTAGAAGTGATGTTTTATTTAAGATTAGTATTTGGCTTTGGGTCTTCTAGGTTTTCAAATGATCAGGGCGCACTTAAAATTTTTAAAAATATATTAAAATAAGACTTGCATAATTGCTAATTTACGACATTTGATATTTAAGGATTAGACTTTTAAATTATTCCAAATGTTTTAAGACTGAAAACATGGCAGAATTAATTTTCTTGTTAAATTCCATCCCTTGCTTTATCACTGATGATAGTAATAGATTGATGCTAAGCTTTGTGTCTGTTCCAGGTAATAAGAGTGGCACTAGAACGCACATATTCAACACAGTTAAGCTCTAGCCTGGACACAGGACAAGGACTTGAGTAAGAAATAGCACTATATACCCTAAATTAGTCCCTGCAAAACATATGTTGTTGTGTTTTCTTTCCCATATGGCATTAGTGTACAGAAATATGAATTCCTTTACTTTGAGTGCACATGAAAAGAATAGAGCCATGAATAGCAATGATAGCATATATTATTGAATATAATAATTCTGATATGAGCATCACATCTTGCACACAGGTATTGATGTTCAACTCTGTACCTCGCAGATATGTACAATCAACTTCGTTACAATAAAAAGAAAGAAAGAAAAAAAAAGAGTAGAAAAGAGTTTAATCTCAGCTGAAAGCAGGCAGGCATGGCTGGTTCCTCAGCTGTAGAACAAGAGGAAGATGCCTGCATAGAAAGTCATTTTCAGGCCTTCTATATAGTAGCACAAAGGATATTTGGCTATTATCTGATTCATTTGATTAGTATAAATTATAAAAGATAGTTACAGCTAAAACATATTTATTTTGGCTGCCTACATTGACTGAGTTGACCATATCATTATAATGTCTAACTTTAATTCATGCTGTGTCAACACAAGCCATTCCTATAACATTCCAAAAACTTTGCTTAGAACATACTCAATGATGATAACTCCCATTTAAAGATGGCAGAATATTCCCCTTTTTCTAACACACACACAAAGAACATGAAAATGAATAATAGGGAACAACACAGCATTCTAAAATAAAATTTCTGTAACACCCAATTAAAGGCAGTGACGAACACATGCAGTTGTTGAAAAGCCATTGGGACAGGGAGAGTTTTTAAGCATTTGCTGTGCATATTATCATCCTGAAAAGCTATTTTGTGGGTGTTTGAACCTAAGAGCAGAGAGCTAGGGAGTTGGATGTTCTACTGGAGAGGAGGAGAATGTTCCTGTAAGAGATCTATCTACTTTGGACCCTCACAGTACAGGAGGAGTAGGGAAGGAGACTTTTTGGGGCAAGCCATTTCTAAGTGTCCCCTCCCTAACCTTCCAGCCCAGAGACACTCCTGGNTAGGGGGGCTGGGGCTGCGGGGTCCTGGTGAAGAAAGCATGCTGCATTCCTCCGTTGCCCTGCAGCATGGCAGACCTAGGTTGGCCAGAACTTCAATTTTTCAAGAAAAGCCAGAAATACAAATTTCATGTGAAATTTTCCAATTTTACAGTGTTGGCTATTAATTTAATTTCTTTTAAAACCTTATTTGAGCCAAGGAAACACATCTGTGTCCCAGATACGGTCCGTGAGCCACACACTTACAATGTCTAGCAGAGAGTACATTGAAGTCTCATAATATACTTCTCATGGTTGAAAAATTATGAATTTTCAAAATGAAATTCTCTGGCCTTTTGTCTTTAGACACTTTGGTCAGAAGAAATAGTCTCTGTTTTATGCATTTGGAGGCACTGGTATAAAAGATCGGTGTAGGATCATAAAACCTGTCTTTCCTTCTTCTCTCACATTCCAGATTACAGGACAGGCCCGTGTTTTACTCAGGTCAACAACCAGATGTGTCAAGGGCAGCTGACAGGCATTGTCTGCACGAAGACTCTGTGCTGTGCCACCATTGGACGGGCCTGGGGCCACCCCTGTGAGATGTGTCCAGCCCAGCCTCAGCCCTGCCGACGGGGCTTCATCCCCAACATCCGCACCGGAGCCTGCCAAGGTGAGGCAGCCACCTGCCCATGTGCCCCATCACTGACATGTCACTTGTCGGTTTACTGGAGTGGGAGAATCTGACACTGAGAACGGTAGTCTCTAACACATTACCCATTTCCAAGAGGGCCTGATCAGAGATGGTTCATCTTTTAGCCACCTAATAAATAATAAGGTTTCAACTCTTGACATTCAT